GCCCAGAGAGTTTTGGCCTGCAAACTGTGCAAGACAGCAAATGGAAGGGAGGCATGTTCGAAACACATACAACCTCCAACCCTAAATGCGCCCTATGCCCACCCCCTCTTGCATGCAGGGACCCCTGTGTTTTGCAGTATCTTCCGCGGGCATCGTAATTTAGCCAGGGCTGGGCCAATGACCCAACCTCTGAAGAAAAAAACAAAAAAAGGTCAGCTCCTTTTCTATTAGTTTAAGCAACCTCTTTTTTTTGAAGCAACCTACTTTGGATTCCCCCAAAGGAATTTCGCCAAAGTTCAGCCACCTCCAACCTCGCTCGGTTTGGGACTCGGGCGCCAGCGCAGCGCCCCAGCTCCAGGCCTCAGACTCGGAGAACTTGGACCCACCGGGCGGCGCTCGGTGTTTTTTTTGTTTGTTTTTCTCTCTCTCTCTCTCTCTCTTTTTTCCGCATTCGGTGCCCCCAAAAGGGGGGAACAACAACTCAAAAACAGAAACACAAAGGGGCAACTCAAACACAGACACACACACACACACACAGAGAGAGAAGCAACCACAGACACGAAAACAGGCAAAAACACGCAAACAACACGCAAATACACGCAACAAATACATGCAACAACACGCAACAACACAAACATACGCACTAATATTGGGGGCTTGGACCATAGGAGACTTGCAGGCAGAATGGAAACTTTGAGGTTCGTTGATCTGCAGAAGGTGTACACTTTTATTGTGATACTATGGATGGACATTAATCTGCAGATTCCGCCAGGTGGGGCAAAATCACGGTATGCAGGCTCATCCATCCCACAAATGCAGGAGTCTATCCATCCACAATGTGCCAGGACTCCCTCTCAACTACAACAAACACCCCTGCTAAAAGGGCCTCAACGATGAGAGTGTGCGATGTAACTTAAGGGGTATACCTATGGCAGGGGAGGGGGCTTGACACGGGTGAGACGCAACCCTTTTTTTCAAAGAGGTGTTGAAGGGTACTCAAGAAAACCAAATCAAATCAGGAGCATACCAAGTCTGTCTACTGGTATGGCTGGCCACACCCAATGTAGCACGGGCTACCAGCGCCGGCCGAAGAGACCCGAAAATCGAGTACTCTATGGATGTAAGTTTTGTATGGAGATAAATGGCCATGTCGAAACCCCGTACCCGTAGTGAACATCCCAATCCCGACTAAAATAAAGCCTTCAATGGGTGGTGCACCTATCCATTGGTTTTGAACCATGGCCAAATGAATATGGATTCAAACTGAGATCGGCGTGGCTGTTTCTGGGGAATCCCAAAATGCTGGTCCGCCTTTTGGCTCTCCTTTTGAGCCCCAAAGAAAGAGGTGGTGTTGGGGGGGGGGGGAAAAAGCAAAAACAAGTAGATCCGCACTTGGTTTCCTGTGAACCCAAGTAATGACACCATGTAGCAAGACATGCTGATGCCGTGTCGAGCAGACCCGAGGGACTGTGAACAGGCCTGTGCTTTGCCTTAGGGGAGGCACTGGTTAAAACCTGGTACCAATCTGGGTGTCCTGTATGAGCGGACCCCGAAAAATCGTTTCAGTCTTCCTTATGACTTCTCGCTTAAACCATAAGAAAGGGGTACCAACTCCCACAAAAGACGAGCAACCCATTTAGGCCCTCGGGAGTTCTTTGACTCTTTGACTTGGCCTCTTTGGAGCACTCGTGTGCGGCAATGGCCAACCAAAACGGGGCCCAGCAGAATCAAAAACAACAGGGGATCCATGTTTTCCGAAGTTTTCCATCCAATTTGATTTTTTCGCATCCAATTTCCATTTCCATGTCCATTTCGATATAAATTCGACCCTGCTCATGCGGCCCCATATGTTCCTTCAAGCTAGTATCTTCGACAAGCAAACAACGAACAGAGTTCTGACTGTCACCCTTCAAATCAAGAACCCATTCCATCCATTCTTCTCTTGAGGGTCCAAGCAATGAACAAACACAATCCTGACGTCACCTCAAAATCCTGACACTCCCAAAGCCATCAGAATCCAAGGGTTCGGAGATCCAGCCGAGCTACCGCAAAAGCTGGTGTGGCAAACGATGCACTCGAACTGCTGCAGCCTGGTTTTACGGAACTGGTTTCTCTCGCAGTTCCACCGTGGCTTCCATTTGCCTTTTCGCCCCGGTTCGACAAAATGAGACCATTTGTCCAGTAGTGATAGATTCCCTTAAAAAAACAACGGGGGAAACTATAACATATTCTTGAGCAAATGGAAGGTGGATGTCCAACATATAGGTCCATGTTTTTCCGGGTCCCCCCCAAAACGGAAACGGTGATCCTTTTGGTTTCCCTTAAAAAGCCACCAACAAAGGGTATTCCCAGAAAAGACACGGCCCATGTCGCGAGACAACCCATCACAATCCCTTCGAAAGTTAGGGAATCAACTTTGGGCATGGATCCTTTAGGAATCTCTCCCCCAGTCTCTGTGCATATCATTTTCGCATTCCCCTTGGGTATCAGCTCCGAGCTGGTTGGTGCCTCTGGCCCTAAAAGGCACATTATAACTGCAACCAGGGAACCCGGCTTGAACACGGACGATCAACTGATATCCCTCATGATTGGAGTGGCCTAAAAAGTCCGAACTTTGTGCATACCTTTTACAAGGTAGCCCCAAAACGCATAAGCTCCAGAAACTTGGCAAGTAACTCCACGTTTGGGCATGAGGCTGGTTTTCCCCATTTAGAAAGACCGAGGGCCATGGTCACGGATTGCTTTGACATCACCCCATGGGGTACACCTCGAGAAGCATCCTAAAGCTTCCTCCAAATTGACAAATCTAAAATCAGTGATCACAGGGGTTGTACAGGGGGGATTCAGAGTACACATTTCCAAAACCGTCCCGATAGATCACTAGAACGAATTCGGATTTGTAAGAAGGACCTGAGTCTGATGAAACTGCACCAAAGGCGCAACAAGTAACTACGCGTAGACATGGAACTAGACAGACAGACAAATAAAAAAATAACAACGCTACAAATAGGAAACACTGAGAATAAACAGCGCTACCCCACAAAAGCCAACAAAAAAAGCTCCGTCTCCCTTCCCCGTCTCCCTGCTAACGCTCGCGTTTCGCGCTCCCAATGTCGCGTTTCGGGGGCGTCGGGGGCGTCGCCTGGCCCAGACCTGCCAAAAGATCCGCGGCCAGCTGCTGAGTTGCGCCCAGAGCTGCTGGAAGAAGTCCCCCACGTCCCAGGAATTGTCTCGGAGCGGATCCGATCCCAAAACGGAGAAACGCGGACGAGGGACACCGACCAAGGAGTCTCCTTCTGAGCCGTTAAAAACGGGTCCATGACATACCGTTGGTTTGGGTAATGACGACATCATTGAAGGGTCAGAAGCAGACTCCAGGTGTATTGGGTTGTTGGGGAAGGCGTGTTGATATTAGGCCGTGGTGTTTCTGCAGGTTTCGGCTCTTTCTTGGGGCTGGGCTGGTGAATGGGGGGATCATTCCCAGGGTCTCTTAGGTGGTGCAGGACTTCGTCCATCCACAGTATGAGAGACGTGAAGCAGCTAGGGTGATGCTGGAACAACACCATTTCTGTGATGCCAAAGAGTGCCATCCATAATTTGACTACTTTACTCATCCAAGTACAAAACTTGGCCTATTTCGGCAAATGACTATTCATGAACCTGAAATACAGAAGGCCCCTGGTGAGCGACCTTTCTGGGTGACCTCGTTCTACCCGCGAAGCAGTGCCCGTTGGAACTTGCGGACCCAAACGAAAAGGGAAACATGACACCCCACGGAACCGACGGAACAGGGAGATCGACCAAACAGCTCCTACTTTGTGATATCGTATGCAAGAATACATAATTACTTCCCGTGACTCCTGTGCTTGTCAAACACTGAACATACGGGATAATATCACAAAGTCTGGGTTCTTCCTTCTGCAGGATGCCCACTTGTTGAGTCTCCATAATCCCTAGAACATAGAACAAGGGAAACCAGGGTATAACTTTCCCCATTTAGTGAATGTCAAATCGGCTTCCCCCAATGGTCATCCTGTGTAAAAAGGACCTTTTTGAGTCACCCCCATGGAAGAATGTAAGCGGCATGCACGAAGGAGAGGGCTGAGGTCCTCATTTGGGGGGCCGCAACCTGCCGAAAAACAACGCCTACTGCCTATAGGGTTTGAGGGCTTTTTCTGTCGGGATCTTCACATTTCTTTGTTTTTGCTTGAGGGTGGAGGTAGGAGATGTTCTTGTTGTTCTCTTGTTTTGAGGAGGGGCACGACAATGACATATCAAATGCTAGGCGTGTTGATGTCTGCCCTTCATAGTACGTTGGTTTGTTCTCAAAGTCACTTACACAAGTTCACCAGGAAAACTGACAAAAAGAAAGCTATATACCCTTGAAACACATGACACGCTCCGTTCCAAAAAGAACATCATGTGTTGGTCGCAACCACATGCCGGTGCGGGCTGGAAATGCAACATGTCCAACTAACAACAAACCTCAGACTTTCGCCATACAGTACTTGTTTGGCGCAGTCCCAGCAACTCAAACAAGCGGGCAAGTTACCAAGCTGTTGACTTCTACTAAAACATGAGTGACTTCTGGTGAAATCACTATACCGAATCCTGTTGCAAGGTTGCCCAAGGACCCAAGAAATGAGGTCCCCAATGTGTCGGCGAGCATCGGAGAACCATCTTTCTTCCCGGCATGGTCATCGGGGCATTGCTCGGAGCCCGAGCAACCCGACCAAGTAAATTTGCAAGATGCTGCTCCCCAAACCAGTTTTAGTGCCGAACATCAATGTGCAGGGTGTTTTACTTTCCCCACATCTCAGGTCTGCTTCGAACAAGAAGGATGGCTTACGGAAAACCCCATTTTGTCATTTTTTAGGGTCCCCCTCAATCAATTTTTCCTTTACCACCAGAAAAGGGGGGCACCCTCAAAACAGGCCTCAGGTCCCCCCCAAAAAAGCCCACCACTTTGTCAACCAAAAGCCCAGCCTGGAGTGTGCTGCAGCAGCGCCGGCAGCGGATTTTTTAGGTCGCCAGGTAGGCCTCAGCTTGGACCCGGTTGGTATTTCAAGGGAAAAACCGTGAGGACATCAGGGACCCTTAAAAGGAAACTTGAAACACGAGGAAAGCTTGGACTTTCTGTTGTTGTTCTTCGGCAAGCCACGAGGGGCCCTTAAAAGGAACCAGGAAATCGTCTTGCGGAAATGGGCCCCGAGTCTCAGAAACGCCAAGGAGCCCGAAACGCCGATCCAGGTGAGGAACTCCCCCTTTTCGGCGCTAAAAATGTATTTCAGGGCGGAACATTGAAAAAAACAAAAAACACATTGATCTCCGGACTTCAGGGCACCCCACGACGCGTTCCAACTAGGTCCGTCTGACATGTTCATTCTCAACCTCCGCTGGGAAACGTTGTCAAATGGCCCGGAATGCATCGTTTAAGGAATGGCAAAACACATGCCTTGTGTTGGTAGCTATCTTGGTTGCGGTAACGACCCCTTTGCAACAAAGTGGTTAACTTTTTGTGGGTTGAATGGAACATCCAACTTGTTTGAAGCAAACAGTTAGAGTCCAAAGATATGATACACAATGGACATACAGCTGTTTTTTGCAGCTAGGGGGAAAAAACATGTTTTTTTTGTGGTTGTATTTTGACTCATGGTGGTTCCCTCCAGTTGTCTCCATTTGAGGGGTTGGGTTTCTTCCCCTCTAAAAGCGACCAACCTTAATTCTAGGCTTCCCCATTCCAGGGATCCTTCTCTCTAGAAAATGTCCGGAATCCACCCGTTTTGCTTTTCAGGGGTTTCCCGCAGTTGCAACCCGTGGATTCCGCCCCTTTCTTCAACGTTGTGTGGGAAAGGTTCCCAGTTAAACTCAACCAACCGAGAAAGGATGCCATTTTTACCCCATGGCCGCTCAGTTCCCTTTTAAAATAAGTACCAACAAAATGCTTGTGTTTTGCCAGCCACTGGGGGGTCTGGGCACAGTTATTCTGCCCAGATGAGTTACAATCTAAACTGGCTCCCCACTTAACAGGGAAACCGATTTCGGGGTTACCCTATTTGTTGATCCACAGCCTGGGGGAAAACCACTAGAGGTGTTTGTTGGAGTCATAGGATTGTAACCCAAGCCCAGTTAGGATCCACTTGCTGGGGGAATCCACTGGGCTTTTTCTCGGGGTCATTCCCTCAGCTGAGCACCAAGAAAAACTAGGTCCTCCAGCAGAGAGGTTAGGATAAGGGTACCCTTTTTCTGTAGTCAATTTTAGTAGGGGGTTTTCCTCTCAACCAAAAAAAGGGTGAGAGACGGCACTGCACCTAGCTGGGGGATAGCTAACCCCTAAACCCTTAAACCCCTAAACCCCTGAAGAAACCACTGGAGGGAACCAGTTTAGGAAACCCAAAGAAAAGGGCCATGGGCATCCACTGGTTGCTCTCCCCGCCTGCGACGGCCTCGGGGCAGAGGTGCCAACACCGCTCAGAGGCCGCGCAGAGGCGCTGGCATTGGGCGCAGCAAAAGAGCCTCGCGGCTTCCGAAGCACGGCGCGCGAGGGATTTTGGTTTGGATTCGGAAGGATCTCCCGACCCACCAACAAACATGGAAGAAAAAACTGTTGAATTCGCAAAGACCTATCCTTTTTATTGAATTCGGACAGACCTACCCTCCCTGCCATTTGGTTAAGACACCTGCTAAAAATACAAAATATGTCCAGTAGTGATAAATTCCTTTTGAAGCCAACAAGGGAAAGTGACACAAAATCTTAAGCAAATGGAAGCTCAGCCCCTCCCCGGAAATGGGTCCTGCGCCAAGTGCTCCGAGCAAAAATTGGTTCACCAGTGAAACAGCAACTAGTTGCAGTGCACATCTTTACCCTCTCACCTAAGATGGGTTTGCCCACGCAGCCCTTTTCCAAGAGGAAAGTGGTCTTTCTAAAGGGCTCTGTGCACTTCCAGGTCAGCCGGAGGGTACCCTAAAAAAGGCGGTTTGGGGTTCCTGAAATGCTGGGCTTGGGTTTGTTTGAGTGTTTTCAGAGCTGGGATAATATAGGGGATCCGGAGAAAAAGTAAGAAAACTTGAACTCCCCCTTTTGACGCCCTTCTGAGAACAACATGTCCTGTTTGCAGTACGTAAGGAAATGCACGAAACACCTCTCTTTCTAATTTCAGTCGTGTCCAACACCTAGACCTGGAAATGCGCCCAGCAACGAAGGGGACAAGCACATCACATAGTGTGGCAACTGGGGGACAACCCCTCAAACCACTGGAGGGAATCATGTTGGGCCCAGACCCCCCAATGAGAAATTGGGAAAGTTTCATATTGCTTCTTGTTGGCTATGTTCTAACCGGAAAACCCCTGAACGGCAAAAAGGGCACCGTTCAATCGCCCTGGTTGTAAATGTCACTCGTTCGGTGGATTCTGAGGATCCTGGAAAAGCTTGGCCAAACATGCACATAGTTGCAAGCAAAGGTGCTCGTTTTGTGTTTGGCTTTTGCGGGAACCAACCAGCTGGCAATAAAACAAAGAGTACAGGAGTGCCAAAGGGAAACCCGGTAGGTGTTTTACGTTGTCCATGTCTTCTAGCTGCGACAGGGAATGTTAACTAACTGTGTCAAGGGGCTCATCAAAGGAAGTTTAGAAGGAACTTCCGTGGTACGGCAACTAATTGCAAGCTAGCTCTCTGAGACAGATGACAAGAGAAGGAATAAGCCCGAGAGGAAAAATGCGCGCGCGCGTGTGGTCGGAGAAAAGAAAGTCGCAAAATGCGTGGCCCTGTGGTCGGTGAATTGGCCTCTCCGCAGATGCGAAATCCGCGGCGTCTGGTCGGAGCGAGCTCGGAGCGGTCTCGGATCACATTCGGCGCCGGGCCGATTGGCACGGCGACGCAGAGGTTTCGCAAGGTTGGAATTGCCTGGCAGGCGCAGCATTTTCGCAATACAGATTTCGTGGCAGGCGCAGCACTTTCGCAAGGTCAAGTTTTCTTGAGGGTTGAATTGCGTGGCAGGCACAGCATTTTCACAAGTTAAGGGTGCAGCACTTTCGCAAGGTCAAGTACAGATTTCGTGGCAGGCGCAGCATTTTCGCAAGGTCAAGTACAGAATTCGTGGCAAGCGCAGCACTTTCGCAAGGTCAAGTACAGAATTCGTGGCAAGCGCAGCACTTTCGCAAGGTCAAGTGCAGCACTTTCGCAAGTTTAGGTACAGATAGATAGATAGATAGAAAGATAGAGAGATACATAAGTAAACAGATAGAGGGATAGGTAGATAGACAAACAAATAGTTAGATAGATGGATAAATAAATCGATAAAAAGATAGATGGGTAGATAGATAGACAGATAGAAAAAGAGATAGATAGATAGAAAGAAAGATAGATAGATGGATAGATAGATGAAATGATAGATAGATAGATAGATAGATAGATAGATAGATAGATAGATAGATAGATAGATAGATAGATAGATAGATAGATAGATAGATAGATAGATAGATAGATAGATAGATTAGATAGATAGACAGATAGATAGATAGATAGATAGATAGATAGAGATAAATATAGATAGATGAAGAGATAGAGAGATAGAAAGATAGGTAGATAGATAGATAGATACAGAGAGAGAGATAGACAGATAGATAGAGACATAGATAGATATATAGGTAGATACACGAGAGATAGACGGAGAAAGATATAGATAGATAAATGGATAGGTAGATAAACAGAGAGTCAGGTAGATAGATAGATGGATAGATAAATAGATAGTAGGTAGGTAGGTAGAAAGAGAGATAGCTAGATAGATACAGAAATAGATACATAGATAGATAGATAGACAGACGGATAGATAGATATATAGACAGATACACGGGAGATAGATGGAGAGAGGGAGAGAGGGAGAGAGAGAGATAGTTGGATAGATAGATAGATCCATAGATAAAAATATAGATAGATAAAGAGATATATAGAAAGAAAGAAAGAAAGAAAGAAAGAAAGAAAGAAAGACATAAAGAGAGATAGATAGATAGATACAAGCACAGATAGATCGATAGAGAGAGAGAGAGATACACAGATACACGAGAGATAGATGGAGAGGGAGAGAGAGAGAGAGAGAGAGATAGATAGAGAGATAGAGAGATAGATAGGTAGATAAAACGAGAGGTAGATAGATAAAACGAGAGATAGATAGATACATAGATAGATAGATAGATAGATAGATAGATAGATAGATAGACAGATAGATAGATGAGATAGATAGATAGATAGGTAGGTAGGTAGGTAGGTAGGTAGATAGATTGGTAGAGAAAGAACAAAAGAAAGACATATATATATATATAGACAGATAGATAGATAGATAGATAGATAGATAGATAGATTAGGTAGATAGATTAGGTAGATAGATAGAGACAAAAGAAAGAACTGCGCAAAGACAAGCAAACAAAACAAAGAAAGAACAAACAAACAGATAAAACAAAAGGAAAGAAGGCAGGAAGGAAGGAAAGAAAGGAAGAACATAATAAATAAATAATCACGGAGAAACAAATAAACAATGAAAAGGAATAATAATATAAAAAATAGTCAAGAAAAGAAAGATAAAGATAACTATAGTTTTTATACCTTTTGAAGCTTCCGCCCACTGGCTTCGCCTGGCTCTACTGGTATCCATACCAAGTTTGGGGCTGATATCCATACGTACTCTCAGATGGGACGCCAGTTTTTTTTTCATCACGCTTCACTTGCGCGGGTGTTCCTTCTGACTCTGAACCTTGAACCTTCCTTCTGGCATGGGAGAGGTTACGCTCGAATGAACAACTGCAAGCACAAACCATACCCGGTTCGCAGTGAGAAGTTTGGTGTGTTACTCCCGCACCACTAGACGAATGTCAAGGCTGGCCAATATCAGTCAGGCTCTCTCACAAGCCTCTCACATTTCTCTGTGAGAAGACTTAAGGTGAATTACCCAAGTAGGCTCAAAGAAGCTTCCGACAGGGTCCTGGTGCCCACCCCTCTGTGTGGGAGGAAACAAACATGGAGCAATGCACTTGCAAGGATTGGACTCCTTGTCGTGGCAAACAGCGATTTCCCTCTGTTCACTGACCCTGGCAGAAAAAAGGGAGTCCTTTTTGGCAGGCGGCTCTCTCGGAGCCGTGTAACTGTCATCGAATCTGAGTCTTGGAGTTGGGGAGGGGGGTTGGGGGGGGGGGGTGGGGGGGGGGCCAATGAATGCGGCGCTTCTCTGTTGCGACCACCTGTGCTTGGGGTGGGGGGTGGGGGGGGGGGCAATGAATGCGGCGCTTCCATTTCTGCTGTCATGTGCACCATAACCGACGGAGCCTCCAGCCTAGGTCATTTCAGCTTCTTCTCGTGTAATCCAAGCGTTCATTTTCGCATTATGTATATGTGTTCCAACAAGCGGGATTTTGGGCATATTTACTACGTATGTTTTTTCCAGCATCCCACGACGGAGCCTCCAGCCTAGGTCATTTCAGCTTCTTCTTGTGTATTAGGTCAAAAAACGAACTTTTCGGGGACCCCCTTTGCACAGCCCATGTCGCAAGAAGTTTGAGTCAAATGAGGCAAAAACACCGCAAATACCAGTGAATTTGCCTTCTCGCACTTCAAAACACGCAAAATGCTGTCGGTGACAGTTACACGGCTCCCAGAGAGCCGCTTGCCTCCTTTTTGGGCTTGAGCATGTTCAGTGGGCAAGCAACCAAACAAAAACGAGAGAAGGACGCCACCGAACACCAGCACCTGATTCTACTACCCCAACAGCACCCAGGCAACTCAGTCCGAGATGCACATGCTCTGGTTGGGAGAGCAACTGCTTGAGCTGGTGCACGTACAGCCGACTCTTGAAGCGATCCTTCTCGTCCTTCCAGCGCGACCGGTCGCCTTGAGCCCTGCATAACCCATGCCACCTCAAGGCTATGAGGGCTTCGATGCAAAGTCTTAGCATGTTCCCCTTCGGGACAGTACAGTGATGTGATGTACCACGTGATTCCAGGTGAATTCATACATTTGACCAAACATATGAACACCTTTTGCCTTTTGAAGAAGCCCTGCAAACCACCCCGAAACAAACACGAAACGGTTGGGCCAAATGAGGTTGAAGAAGGCCATGACAGTTTGGGGGGTCTTGGGTGGGCTCATGCCAATAAAACAAATACGGGAAGCCCCACACCAAAAATGGAAAGCAAGGGCTCAAAATACATCTGCCCGCACCCGAGTCGAGTCATGGAATTTTATTGGGCGTACCACGAACCATGTACAGCAAGTCCAGATATCCGCAGCTAGTGAATTTGTTTGCTTGGGACAACAGCAACCTGGTAGCCTACCCGAATCAGTTTGATTGTGGCTCATGTTTCACACGACCCAAAGATAACTTAGTTGACTCCATATTGATCATCCTGGACGATGGATAGAACTGCCCCCAAAGTGATTTTTTCATATCCTCTCTTCACAGGGACACCCCTCGTTTATCAAAGCCTGCAATAAGAAATGATAAGAAATGGGTCCGCAAGTAAAGAACCTACATCATGGTGAGCTTGTCATACCCGGATTGGTCCGATGCTTGTCCATCCTGGGCCAACATGAGCAAGGCCCTTTTTTGTTTATCTGCTCTCTGCGTCAAAACTCCTCAGGGCATAGTCCTGTTGAAGCTGCCTCTTCAATTGGCTGGCATTTTAAAGTTGATGATCCTCAAATAAGGCTTCAAATGACCATGGCTTCAATTGACCATGGCACATGAGGGTCACGAGATGTTCGGGTCCCCAATTTTCAAGCCCAAAGACCATCATTTCCGGGCTCCGACCAGTCGGGCATCAAACAGCTCCCTTGCGCCGAAGTATCCCCTCCCAGGGTTGAGTAAATCTAGCTGCTGTAGCGACCCCTCAACAACTCCAATTCGGGAAATCCGAGCTGTTTCAACCAAAAGGTTAAAGTCCAAAGATCCCTTACCAAATAGCAATGAAGTAGACCCCCCAATTAATATGGTTCCCTCCAAAAGTCATGAACCCGAACAAAAAGGGGACACCTGTGGGGAATCATGTCCAAGCGCTGCTTCTCCATTTGGGTATGGCTCAAAATTAAAGAGCTGGGGCAAACCGCTGGTTTTAGTCTTTGCTTCCATTTACTAGGGTTCCAAAATGGATACCCATTTTTGAGCCACAGCCATTTGGGGAACAAACCGGTTGAGACCAACAAAAACCTCCCAGCGAGCGAGCGAGCCGCCAGACATAAAACAAAAATACGGTAAAAGGCACAAAAAGGGCCCCCAGCGCCAAATGTCCACCGGACCCAATTCTAGAGCCATTTGGCCATGGGTCAAAATCCCGTACCCCTAGTGAACATCCCCATCCCCACTAAAATAGGTTCTAAAATGGGTGGTGAATTCACCTACCAAAATGCGATCCCGAACCGGTTTTGACAACCACAGCCATTTCTCGCGCGCGTCTTCGCCCAACTCCAAGCGCTGGGCTCGGCTCGGCTGAAGCGCCTGTAACTGCTCTAAGTCTTCGAGGCTGCAGCGCGCCGCGAGATTCCCCGCCAGCCGCTCCGGGATGCAGCCTGCCGCTGGCGGTCCAAAACGTGCTTCAGGCGACCCGGGGACAAAAACGCGCTGGAATTTGGGGCTTGATTTTTTTGGAGAGAAATGCCAGAACTAAAGTTGAACCAAAATTGCCGAAATGCCTTTTGAACCCCACCAAAAGGAATCTACCATACATGTGCATCGAAAAAAAGAGAAGAGGAAGCCCATGATAAATGGCGAACAAGAGCGACTTGTTTTCTCACCCCATTGATCTGTGGCTTCCGACGAGTGGGGCAAAACGAGCCTCACTAATATCGCGGAAAAAAAAGGGAGTGTAGCCCCGTATTCACCGTTGCCCAGATGCCATGGTAGAAAAAGGGAATCTTTCTTAGGGTATCTCCTGTTTAGTGGGCTCTGAACAACTCGATGTTGAACATGTGGTTCAGACATTTGCAAGTTGGCATCGGACGCGAACAGCACCCACTGCAACCTCTTAAGAAAGGACCTTCCTGGGTTCGAATCTGGAGACTAAATGAGCAAACAGGAAAGGTACTTGCACCCAGCTAAACTGGGCCGATGTTCATTTGAAGGGTGAATTCCCTAGATTTGCAACTGAGCCACTCACAAACACCTGGCACAGTATATTGCAGAACAGCTTGGGTGCTGCCACTTGTTCCTGACTTGCAAATGCTAGGGAGTAAAACGAGTTGCTTGTTGAAAGAACGCTGTTTCAACATAATTGATATCGCATCAACACCTACTTAGGCATTTGGCTTGCTCGATAAATAAGGTTCGAGTAGTTCCAAGGCACATTCACCAAGAACGGGAGCTCCCCCATTTTGAGACAGGCCCCCAAAACAGGGCTGCTCCAAAAACCCGCGGCACAGGGGTCTTGGACGAGAAGACAACTTGTGTGCTTGGCGAATTGTTTCTTTTGTGATATATATATATATATATGTATAACAAAACACACAAAAAACGCATTGGGTGTTCAAACCTTCTGGTTCTGGGTCGTCTTTCCGAGGCTCGTTAAGACGTCCTCGCGTTCGCCGGCGCCTAAGTCCAGAGGCACCGCCAAGACCTCGGCCAGGGACTTGTGCATGGCCGCGAGGCACTCCTTCCAGTCGCGGTCTTCACCCCCCGTGAGCGATGGGAGGCCCCACGCACGAAGCGTCCGGACGGTTTGGGGGCGAGAGAGAGAGAGAGGTACCCGTTTGGGTCGTTTTGTTCGGAAAATGGAAACCAACATATTTTGGGGGTTCCCCTGTTTTGAGACACACTAAGCTTTCCAGCATTAGCCTTCTTCCTGACATGGGACCCTAGGCATTTCCTGTACCTGTCGTTGTTTGGTTTCCGCGAAGGGCAAGTGATCAGTGATCTTTGAACATCCGTTTCCCTTGCGTAGTTCAATGAATGCCCAACGTTTCGACCTTTGCGACATGAACAAGATTCCATTTGTGAAAGAGCCCCAAAGGAACCTGGAAGAATTGGTGATGGCTATGATTCTCACCCGGTTGGACCCTTAGGCAAACATAGCTTAAATGGGAGTTTATACCAAACCTTTTTGGGTTGCATACGCATAGGACCATCCTGACTCTTCTCGTACCATGGCTGCAAGTGTGGCAATTGACCATGTCTTGTTCGAGACACCCCTCGGGAGTGCTTGGCGCACATGAATCCCCACCTCAATGATGTCTCGCAAAGGGTCCCATTTGGGATAGCGGCTGTTCGTTTGGTTTCCGTGTAAATGAAAAACACAAGGCGTAATTATTAAGACAACAAACATCCCCTAGTGGCGCAGGGTCCCTTAGGTAGACTCTACCGGTGTAATCGGCTCCTCCACCAGCGTCTCCATCTGCAAAAAGTCAGCTGAGATAAGGATGGACACCAGGTCCTGGCAATTTGAGCTTTGTTGGGGGTTTGGACAGTGGGGAACGCGCTGGCGGCAGAAAACCCAAACACGGCCACCAAGACGCCGGATAGACGCAGCAATCCGAGCTGGCCAACCAGCTTTCTTGGGGTTCTGTGGAACCATTCTCCACCCAGAACCCCAACGGCTTGATGTGATGTTCTGTGGAGCCCCTCTCATCCGAGAACCCCAACGGCTTGATGTGAAGCTTTGTTGTTCTGTGGAGCCCCTCTCATCCGAGATGCTGTCTCACTCAGGGCTGTCCACAGTGGACTGCCAGAATGAAATCGCATCTGTCATCGTGTGGCAACTAGGTAAGTACCTTAACCTCAAGTTGGGGGTTCTGAACTCCCAATCCGCAATCCGCTTAAGCCTACCACCCACCTGCCTGCCCCCCCGCCCCCCCGCCTGCCTACTTACCGAGACACACAGCCCCACAAGCACACAAGCCCACACAGGCACGCACAAAAACAGACGTAAACACAAACAGAAACAGAAACCGACACACAAACGGGCACACAGTTACACACACAAACACATGCGCTTGTGAAGAACCAAGCTATGGATCACTTAGCACCCAAACAGCCATCATTGAGGTTGGTTCCTGGTCTGATTCAAATAGCCATTGAATTGTGTGTGCGCTTCTGCCAAAATGGCAAACGTATGCCGGCTCTACTCGGGAACCAGGAAGATAATGCGTTGCATGTTGTCCAAACACTCAACTGCAGACATGATCTTAAGCCTGGTCTGCCCAGAGCCATGAATGGGGTATGCAGTTCTGTCCTTTTTTGGTTTTGTTGAAAAACCCTCGTTTGTATTTTCTACTTCCCTGTAATGCAAAAAGCAAGACCACGCCGAGTATTTAAAAAAACACACACACACACACATCAAACTGCAAAGCCTATAGCCTCAAGCCTGGTCCGCACAGAGCCATGGGGTTTGCAGTATGGTCTTGACTCGTGCTTTTTGCATTTTCTACTTCCCTGTGTTCAAAAACCTGCGCCAGCACCGCAAACGAAAAGGGTCAGGCTGAGAGTAGTAGTAGTAGTAGTAGTAGTAGTAGTAGTAGTAGTAGTAGTAGTAGTAGTAGTAGTAGTAGTAGTAGTAGTAGTAGTAGTAGTACTAGGTCAACATAAAATGGTCATAGGGTTTTTTGCTTAGGAGGGGCCTGCTCCACATATTATTTCGTCTCTATAACCCCAAGTAATTGGGCTAATTTAAAAAGCTTAAAAATAATCCTGCAAATTTGGGTTCACAAACAGTAGACGGCAATCCTATGTTCCCAAACCTCCACGGGGTCTGCAGTTGTGTTTTGTTTTCTTTGAATGCACAAAACAACAACTGCAGACCCTAGCCCCTAAGCCCAGAGACATTGGGTCTAAAGCTTTTGTGTTGAATTACAAGCCATATGGTCTGCAGTTTTGCTTGTTTGCTTGTTTGCTTGTAAAACTCGTGCACTTTTCTCAGCACCCCCGTCTGCAACAGAATGCCTTCAGCTCTGTGATTTTCGCAGCCAGCAACCTAAGGTACTGATGAAGGCCTAAGATTACGCAATGCGACGCATTGAGATGTCAAATTGTGTAATGTTAGATAGCGATTAATAAAACGGGAGTGAATACAAAAAAAAATCACTCTCCTGAAAAGCAAAAAGGGTAGGTATTACAGAAAAAACAAACCTGCCCGAAATCCCGAAAATATGTCCCCTTCCAAGAATGGACTATATTTGAGGGTTGAAACGTTTGAGTCCAGCCAGAAATTGCCAGAATTTTTGGAGTGCTTCCTGTCCCAAACCACCAAATTCCTTATCAATCCCTTTACTAGAAAATGCACCCTGACAAATTTTCAAGGGGGTGGCACACGGAACTCTCAGGAAGGCAATAATGCAGTTTGTTTAAGGGTAGGGAATTGTGAAGAAAAAAATGGCCAGGGCAGCCTGCCAAGAAGAAGAACCAATACTAAACCAATTCTAAACTGTAGTGAGTCAACTGAACATTTTACTGAACTAATACGAAAACAATTCTAAACCGTAGTGAGCCAGCTCAAAGGAATACCAAACCAATATTAAACCAATTCTAAACAATACTTACTGGAAAACTACTCAGGGAGGTCCCAGTCTGACCCCCATTTTGTTTTTGGGGTTCTCGCTATTTGACCCCCGCCAATTCGTTTGAAGGGGGGGCCCTTTATTAATCACTCTCCAACATTATTGGCAACATTGAGTTTAGCAGTGAGGAGCCCACAATCAAGTATTGACTCCCCCACACCCAAATAGAGCTTCGCTTCCGCAAAGGACTCGAACAAGTCACGCGCGGTAGTCGCTAGGCAGGCCATCAACGACAACGTCAGCGGAAGCATTGCAAGCATAAGGTGAATCGGTAAAAACCTGGACAAGGTAAGCCAAGCACCTGCCAGCATGGCTGCGGTATGACCTGAAAAGGGCACCCTTTCATACGAAACACCTTGAAAAGCAAACCCATGTTGAGTCGCACGCAACTGGACACGGGCGCCATGTTGCCGTCTCTGGCCTTTGTGTCAAGAGCAGAAACTTCTCGAGAGCCTTCCATGTACTCCACCAGCCACTCAAACACCTGCCGTGGAGCTCGGAAAAGCTGCCACAAAGAGCATGCCAAGCGCTCGGGCTCCTCTAAAACAGCAATTTGCTGGGCTCGTATTAAGCTGCAGGACTGCGGTGTACCTTGATGGGCGTTCAAACGGAGCACACCGGAAACGTGATGCTTCAACAACATGTGAAATTTACCAACTCTAAGACCATGTCATGTTGGTCACCGATTAATCAATAGGAACCAAAGTCAAGACTCTTTTCTCGTGAAAAGAAAAAGGGTACTGAATACAAAGGTCCTCGCAAAATGTGTACTCTGCCCTTCGCCCAGCCGGCAGGAACTGTGAGCCTGTCTTCTCCAAGCCCGCCTTATTAATTGTTTGTCTTGTAGTGCTCAAAAACCTAGAAAACGATCCCCCCCTCCGCAAAACACACACACAAAGACTGCCAATTATTTGTCTAAGCTTACTTAAAGAGAGCCCGGCAAAACTTCCTCCAAGTATCCTCCAAGGGGGGAGTACTGCGAGGTCCTGATACTCAAAAGTAAGAATTAAAACAGGGTATCAACTAATGCAACCAATTTTGTCAGAAAAAAACAAACAAACAATAAAGCAATACTAATCCAACTCCAAAGCAGCACTAAGGAGATCAAAGAGGATCCGAAGAGGAACACAAGAATCGATGCGCAGAAACTTTTAGCAATACCAAACCAAGCGCTGCCTCTGACCCCGATTGTTTAGGCGCTTACTCTATTCACTCCCTTCAATTGGGCATGAGTTTTAGAGACTCTTTGGTGGACATCATTTAGGTGCGGATTCATATCCACCAACTACCAACTGCTTTTGAGGTGGTTCCCCAGTAAAATTGGTCGGTCCCTTCTGAATTTATCCTTGATCCACATGCAGGGGCCTGGACAGCGACTCTCTGAAAGTTGGACCATGTGCTGGGCTGTTCCGTTGGAGCTGGGCCCTTGCCCAACGTTGATCGTATGTGGGTGCATTGCCTCAAAGGGGCTGGTGCCAACAATCCCTGGGGTGACTTCCAATCTAGCACCAGCATTTGAAAGGAATCTACCCGAACTCATGTAAGCTATGTAAGTATATGCAAAGCCAGCCGCCTCGCATTCATAGTTGAGAATGTTGGAAATAAACCTTACATTCATGGTTCCTAACAACCTCACCCTCGGCATCACAGAAAGTGGGACAATCCTAGAAGCCTGCGTGATTCACCAGGGGGTGAATCACGGGGGTGGGTCTGCAAGCGTGGGTAATGTCCGACAAGAAGCGGGGCCGACTGCACTGTTTGCATGATCCTGGCTGTTTGGATCAACAAATCACTAGAAATCACTCCTGCCATGTTGGTGGTAGTTTGTTGCTTTCTCCTTGATAGGTTCTCTATTTTATTCATCCTATTTTGTCGGCCCATGATTTCTGAAATTTCACCGACCCAGAAAAACAAATCGGAGCCTAGGCATTTGAATTCAACCGCGGGTCCCCAAAAAAAAAGAGCCTTCAGAGTATTCGCTGCGCGACTCCATGTGACTGCATGCCTTGATGTCACAATGAACGGAGATCTCCACCTCGTCGTCCTTCGAGTCACAAAGATGCGTTCGGGACATATTCCACAGTAACTAGGTCCTCCAGTAGAGAGGTTAGAATATGGGTACCCTTTTTTCGGTAGTCTATTTGAGTAGGGGAACCCTCCCCCCAAAGAAACAAACGGTATAAGGGCACCTAGCTGGGGGACTGCTTCCACAAATGGAAGTGGACGGACGGCTTGCAAAAGTCCCCGGCCAGCTTCATGATTGCTTTGGAAATCTTTGGAGGCAAGGTATAGCAAACGAGCACCAAGCAAGGCCAAAAGAGCGAACTTCCAAAAACACATGACACCACACTCAGTTGGTTTAGAGCCAAAAGAAACAATTCAAGGAGAACACCGGATCCCGGATCCCAAGAAGGCTCCAAAAGCAAACATCCAAGTGAGCACCCCAAATCCACGTATCCATGCTCTTTTGGTCTGACTGGCTGCCGCGAAACCTTCCGGGGGTCTTTCTCGACCACAGCTTTGGCTCTCACGCGGGCCCAGGCTCTCTGTTCTCGCAAACCACTTTCGCTCAGCTTTCGCGGCGCGGGCTTTGAGTGGCAGCTCCAGCTCGCACATTGCAACTTGTCCGCACAAGCGCAGTAGGCAAAGTAGTCCCCCAAGCAGAGCTTTGTTGAAACATCAAGTTAGAGCTTCTGTGGAGCTTCCGCAGCGCTAGTTTTACCAACAAACCTTGCGCGAGCTTACACGACTCACATAGTTCTAATGCACGAACGCATGCCACAAGAACCTGGTCTCAAATCATCACTGTTGCGTGCTGTTCAAGTAGCTGTGACAGCTCAAAAACCAGTCCCCAAAATGGAACCCTGGTAAGTGGAAACATGGGCCAACACCTGTGTAACCCCAAATTTGAGCCACATCCAAGTAAGTCTGCAAGAATTCCAACTCCAGCAACAAACCAATCCCTGAGAATTCTGACACTCCATCTTCGCTCCAAATACGCGAAAAAAAAAGGGGTCTAATAGTCAAGGCCAAAACATCCTGCGGGCCGTGGTCATGGTTCCCTCACAAGGAATCCGTCTGGTTCTCTGAGTTCAACTCCCAGAGGGTTGACAAGCATACTAGCCCCAAACACAAAGGTGGCCATAGCAAACAAGCATCCACAAAAAAACATTCACTTTGGGTTCCACTTCAATGCTCATTTTGCCTCACTATGGCCACATGACACCTGCGAATAGAACCCCGACTGAAACGGTCAACTTTTAGCATTTGTTTGCGCATCATGTGTCCCCAAGCCAAGTGTTGTGACCATGCCACATACAAAAAAAGGCAAATGGGCGATTCCTAACATATGTGACCCACACTGACGCTTCTGTTGGCTTTCCGCTTGTCTTTTACCCGGGGCTTGTCGTTTTCCGTGTGGCTACAAATTACCAGCCAAAAGGGGTGCCATTCTGAAGATCACAGTGCCAAGGCGCAGGAGATACACCCGCCAAGCAGGTTTCAAAGTACCTGCGGGGAATGCAATGCGAGAACAAGCTGACTCAGGGGGTCTGCATAGTTATTTTGCCCAGTTGTTCTTTGCCCAGAGTTACATTCTGCCTAAAGTGGTTCCCTCCAGGAATAATTTTGTGGGGTTCTCCCTTTGCAGCAAACATAACTTTATGCCTGGACGAACTGGGAGCAACTTAACCTCTTAAGGTCTCGTCTTCGGCGTTTTTGCAGCTATTGACGTCTCATAGGCCTAGGCGTCGATAACTTTGCGCGTGGGATTCCAGGTGGGCAACCCTGGAAGAATAAGCGGAAGGCAAATGCGAGTCCGCAGGGGAAGCACTTATACGTATTGTTGCTAATGATAGAAATGCTTATCCGATAACACATGAAGCCACACACGCCGGCACGCACGCCCGCGCCCACGTGCACACGCAAGCATTTCATCTTCTGCCTGAATGTGTGTGTGATCCCCGGTCGCGATCAGGCAAGGGTTCTGTCATTCCCATGTCAAATCGTTCAGCGAGAAGCACTAGCTTTTTGAGTTTGGATAGCTCAAAGAGAGTCGTGTACAAGCCTCGGGGCTCCCAGCCATTTTCTGCTGCCAATCAGTCAGCATTGAAGAAATTATCCGATGCCCAGAAGGACATTGCTCCGAAAGCTGTCCTCTTTTTTGCTGGGTTCCAATTCTCTTGATGGCCCTGTGTTGGCGCTGACAAACCCATCTGGGCAAATTACTCTAATTATCATAGAAGGAATCCAATCCCCCAGTGTAATGAACCTTCATGAGTGGAATCGCTTGTTGCCGGTGGAATCGCTAGTTCTGATTTGCCCAGACTCACGTATATGTGCCATGGTAAAGTACAACTGCAGGTTACGGGCATGGCTCACCTGGTTGTCCACAGTCCGTGCAAAGGGATCCATGACCGTCCCTACTAACAAAGCAAGTATTGTGAGGGCCTACATTACTAGGATGTTTTGTGGTACCCTTCAAGGCCACATTTAGTCATGATTGTAAGATAATCACGTCTGTGAAATGATCCAGCTTCTTGTATATAGTGCTGACAAAGCACTTCATGTGCTCCAGCAGCTGGGTCTGCTTGCAAAAGAAGTCCCGTCGGACTTGTCTGGCGTCATCGATCACGTGGATGACCGTCTCGCCTTAGCAAAGTTTCCATGGCATTAGGAAAAAAGGGCTCTACCAACCTCAGATTCATAAGGGAGCTGTAGGCTTGAGATTCTCCCCTGAGAAGTATCATGAAACCCGCAACCCAAAGGACCCTGCAAGCTTTGAGCTTGGACCCATGAAGTTCGGATGAACAGCCCTTAAAGGCCGAAAAAGGCGTTGGGTCCCTCGTATGAAACACACTTCAAGATTGGAGCTCCAAAGGTTCGAGCAAAGCAGAGTTTGGCTGTTCCTCGGGTCCAGCTAACCCCATGGCATCCAGTTCCGACTGGAACTCCAACGGTTGAATGAGGGGGCAACATGAGGCCAAATGCAGCTAGCTCCATGTGATGCGGCGAGCCTAGTACTTGCTATACGGAACCAGGATACTTGTTGTAGCGACCCAGGATGAGTAATTGCTTTAGGGATTGATAGGGACCCAGGATGGACCCACCATTCAGACATGTTGAGCTACCCCATCAGTTGCACGTTTACCTCTGGCACGCCTGTGCGCCACAAGGGTCGGCAACTGTTTTATGGTCGACATCCATCGTTTGGGTTTTCGCGTCCGACCAAACTTGCAACTCTCAGAGCTTGGAAAAAGCCCGAGAAGTACCTGCACAAAAAAGCACAGCTGGCGATCTTTGGAAGCAAGATAGTCTTTCCTACGTTGGGACGCTGAACAAGTTGGTTTCTCAGTTGGTCTTGAATCCCAACCGCCCTGCAGACCTTCTGATCCCTAAGAAGCGTTCGAAGCCTGCGCCTGGAATGAAACACCTTAACACGGCTTCGACTGAGCTCTCAGCTCGCGTCTTCCTTTGGATCTTCGACCTAGTACGCATCTTGAGACGACTTCGCCGACAAGAGAAGCTGCCCGAAAACTGACATCCTCTGGGTGTCTCGAGCGAATTGACCACCGCTCTTCGCAGGGAAACATGGAAACGCAACACATCCCGCCTCAAAATCTTGTGTCAAGTACTGAGAATCCGTGGCCAAAGGGGCCAGTCATGTGGGTGGGGTTGTCAAACATAAGGTAACCCCAAAGCGGCTTGCCCTGGTACTGCAAATGAAAACAAGCAAGAATATGCGTGGTCCATCTCCTAGAATAATTTCGGCCCATACCCCTGTGGTCCCTTTCTTGAACAAGACTTGCGTGTTTTGGGATCCAAGGCCAATCTCGCCCCGCATCCAGCTAGATTTCAAGGCTCACAGCTGTGGCAGTTCCACCCTCAAAGGTGGCAGGGGTACATGGTCTTCACAATGGTGTAGCCGTCAACGGAAACCGAGAAAAGAGAACTGGTACAAACTCATCCAATGTTCTTATTCGTGCTTTTCTTTGCCAGCCTTGCGATATCACACTGATTTTCCGTACTGAACCTTAGATTCAGAACCCCAAACAAATGTGAAATCCGGAGCCTTGCTAGTCCCGGGGTGTCGGCCTTCCTTCCGCAGCTCAGTTCGCCAGAAATCCCCGGATGTCCAGGGTGAATAAGAACGTCACCAAGCTAGGGCTCACTTCTTGAGTGGATTGGCCAGAAAAGTCTGAACTTCTCTTGTTTGCCACAAAAATTGATGTAACCCTAAACCAAAAAGAAGGGGAAGTGGTTACTACCACTTCTGATTCACATTTTGAGTCTCTTCTTGAAGGTTTCTTCCAATTGAAGTCCTGAAACTCAGAAAGTGAGAGCCTCGCAGAAAGCCTTGAGCATTCACCAGAAAGCCTCGAGATCACGAATTCATTCATGGCCCTAGATGGGTTTGTCGATTGGGAGAGCCACACGGGTGCCTTCCCTGGGACTTTCTTCAAAGGGACCGCAAAACGGACACCAACTCGACAAATGAAACACTCATTGGCCACAACCTCCTGTTGCTCTACAGGTGTCCCGCTTAAACCCTTCTAGACTGCTCTAGCAATCCACCAGGGTTGATTTGCACCAACCCGTTTCAGCCTGTTCCCCTGTACAAATAATCCTAGACTAGGTCCACTAGAAAGGTGGTACCAACTTTTTTTCTGGAGTCTATTTTAGTAGGGGAGCCCTCCCCAAAAAACAGGGTGAGACAGGGCACTAAGCCGGGGGACCTAGTCCGCTTGCCCCGCACGGCCCCGCACCCGCCTCTTGCCGCCGCCGCGGAGGGATAGCTGGGCAGGGGCAGGTGAGTCATAGTCAGAAGCCGGTATGAAACTTGGCTGGAATTAGGAGGTAGAGGTGTTTTTTGTTTTACTAGGTCCAGTTTTTTACTAGGTCCGGTTTTCCGCAAAGCTGCCAACATCCCCGGCATCACCAACATCACTTGGACCTGGGGTTGCCTATTTTCTCTGATTGGGTGGCAGTTGGGAGTTGCTGGGGGGCTGGTTTAAGTTAGGGGGGTGTTGGCTGGCTTAGATCTTCACGAGGGTGGGTCTTGGGGTGGTTTGGGGTTGATTTAGGCGAAGCGAAGGGCTGACATCCAGGCTGCTGTTGGGCGGGTTTAGGGTTGGCTTGGAGCTGATTTGTGTTAGGTGTGCTGCTGGTTTAGCAGCGGCTTTAGAGTTGCTTTAGGGTGTGGTTAAGAGAGCTTTGGTCGCGTGTAGGGTTGGTTTTGGAGCAACGCTCCAAACCACCAAAACTTGACCAAAACTCTCTTAGCCACACCCTAAAGCAACTCTAAAGCCGCTTGCTAAACCAGCAGCAGCCTGGATGTCAGCCCTTCGCTTCGCCTAAATCAACCCCAAACCACCCCAACACCCACCCTCATGAAGATCTAAGCCAGCCAACACCCCCCTAACTTAAACCAGCCCCCAGCAACTCCCAACTGCCACCGCCGGGGATGCAGCCAGCCAACCAACCAACCAACCAACCAACCAACCAGCCAGCCAGCCAACTAAAATAAAAAACACTACCTCCGAATTAGGACCCCAGCAAAAACATATATATGTTTTTTTGCCTGGTTGGTGGAAAACAAAGGAAACCCCAAAAAGCAAAAAAAACAAAAAGGGGAGCTAATTCTGGGGAAGTTGAATGGTCTACCCAGAACCATGTAAAGAATGAAGAAGGCGGCCCGCAGCTATTTATGGTTGGGATTGGCCCTTACTAACCTTCACCGGGTTTTGATTGTGACTCAGGCCGGGGTCAGAGGCAGCCTGGGGAAGAGTTGGAAACTGCCTGTGACATCCACGACTGCAAAGAGAGGCATGACAAGATCACAAGCAGAATAAAAACACAACCCACTGCTTAGATGGTTGGTTGCTTTGTTTGTCGGATCCTTTTGGGTGGAGTGTGAATGCCTAACAAACTAATCATGTGATAATCATCAGGGACACCTAGAGATGGTCGCTACATCCTTGGGGCTCTCATCGCTCGCGCCGATCCCTGCCAAGTGCAGTCTTCCCTAAACTCGAAGTGGGTGCTTCTTTTTTAGGGGACCCCGCAAAATGCTGCTTTTCCTCTTGGCTTCCCTTCAAAGCCAACCAAGAAGGGGTTCCCTCACAAAGAGACAAACCTCAAATGAACTTGTTTGAACAAAGGCGTGCCAGGAGCTCAAGCCAAGGGCTGCTTCCCCGAAAAAAAAGCCTTTTGTTGCTTGCTATGTTTAAAGGGAAAGCCCCTCAAAGACGGGCACCACTGGAGGCTTGAGGTCTGGGTATTCACAAACCGGACATCTTTCTCATGGTCTTTGGTTTCGCTGAGCTCCGCTTCCAAGAAAAACGCAAACCGAATCCACTGCGGCGCCCGGGCTTGGCATCGATGCCGCGCGGCCATTGCGCAGTTCAACTGCTGCACGTCGCTTTTTGAGTCGTTAGGCCGACAAAAACGAGATACCAAAAGGACCCCTGCGTGTGTCGTCCTGCCAGGAAGTTAAGAACTGTTGCGGGCGATTGATCACTTATGGTCGTGTTTGCACCGTGTGACTCCATGTTTGTTGAGTTCTTGGTAAAGCGCTGTTCTTGTTTGATGCCGCTAGCAAACTGGGTTGCTTCCTTGCGCTTTGGCTGTGACCCGCGCGCTCTCTCTTTCGCTCTCTCGGTCTCCGTCGCCGTGACATCCCTAGGGCTGCTGAATCCATTGCTACTTGTGCTCGCATGTCCATGCAATGCGTTTGTCTGCAATGGAAAATCTTCGGGCCCATCGCGTTGCGGCTTCTGCTGGTCGATTTGACGGTCAGCGACGCATACCCATTTGTCTGCAAGCTCCCGTCGGGCCCGTTGGGCCCCTTGGGCATTGGCTTCGCGTCCTCTCAAGCCCTAAGCCTGGTAACGCCCCACACTTGCTTCTGGGGTACCTTTGTCAAACACCAGTCAATCGACTCAGACTCAGAGCCAGAGTCTTGTTGGCAATGCCCATCCTGGCTGCAACTGCTCGTGAACTGCGTGGGTGCACAATCACCACACGCTTGAGAGTGAAAATTGCAGCTGTGATGCCAGAAGCCATGAGGCAGTAATATGTCTTTTCATGGCATAGATTCTGGAGTGGTGAAGTTATCCTGGTTGTGATGGCAACGAAACAAAGTAAACCAATTTCACGTCTTGCAACATAACTGCCACCAACCACAAGGTCCCTTTGGCACCAAAGGAGACTGGACATCCGGGGAGCATGTTTCCGTAAAAAAGAAACCTGGTGCGGTAATTGGGGCCAAAGGGAAAGGCTGAATCCGGGGAGACACTTCAACCCGCGGGCCCCATTGGGGAAAGAGGCGACGGTGTTCAAAACGTGCAACGACCCCAAAGCCCAAAGGCTGGAGTTCGCTGAGCTCCTGGGATTGAGGGCCTGATCTGCGATGTGTGAAAGGGGAATGGGGATGACTAAACCCAAATGCAAGTGAGCCACAGTCAAAATGACGACATGAGAAAATTCTATGAAGCTAGTGAGTCCCCTTCTGTTTTTGTGGGAGCATGAGATCAGTGACTTCCTTGGAGCGCGCTCTTTTTTTTCTAACATTCTAACAATGCAAACCAAGTGCTCAAATGATGATCCGGGGCTGCAGATTCTCGTGGCAGCCCGTGTCGTTGGCGAATCCTGCGGAGTGATTTGATGTGGAGTTGTGGAGTGCAGCTGGTTTCAAATACTAGATTCAGGCAAATTACTAGGATTCACAAACAGGATCAAATGCAAATGTATGAGACAGGGGCCTTGGCAAAAAATGGATGTCACTAGAATCATGGAATCCCCCCTACTTCACGAGGAGGGGAAGGGGGTGCCCGATTCCTTTTATCTAGTCTTCCCGATGAAAGGGAAAATGAAACTATAAATGGAATTCCAGGGGTCACCCCCTCCCCCAATTCCAGGGGCGGGGATATCATGGAATGCCCAAGTCAAGTCAGGGGCCTTGGCATTTCTTTTCTTCTGCCCGCTCGCGAGCTTGTCATTGGGGCTTTGAAGCTGGACACCAAGATGCATGTGAATGTGTGTATATATATGTTTTTGCGTCTCTGTCTGTCTGTCTGTCTGTCTGTCTGTCTGTCTGTCTGTCTGTCTGTCTGTCTGTCTGTCTGTCTGTCTGTCTGTCTGTCTGTCTGTCTGTCTCTCTCTGTCTGTCTGTCTGTCTGTCTGTCTGTCTGTCTGTCTGTCTGTCTGTCTGTCTGTCTGTCTGTGTCTTTGTTTGTTTGCGTGTCCTTGCATTTTGTTTGTTTGTGCGTGTGCGTGTTTGTTTGTGTCATCGGCTGTTTGTTTGCTTGACTGTTTGTTTGATTGATTGATTTGGTCTGTGTGTGTGATTGTTTGATAGGGCGTTGTTTGTTTGATTGTTTGTTAGTTTGTTTTTGATTTTGTTTGTTTGTTTGCTTGTATGATTGCTTGCTTGCTTGCTTGTTTGTTTGTTTCTTTGCTTGATTGTTCCCCACATCTTTGTGTGGGGTTCTTACTTTTTCCGCTCGTCGTCCGCGCGCCGCGTCTCCTCCTTCTCCCGCTCGTCTCCGTCACTCACTCACTCACTCACTCACTCACTCACTCACTCACTCACTCACTCACTCACTCACTCTCACTCACTCACTTACACTCACTCAACTCACACTCACTCACTCACACTCACTCACTCACACTCAGTCACTCACACTCACTCACACTCACTCACACTCACTCACTCACACTCAGTCACTCACACTCACTCACACTCACTCACTCACACTCACACTCACTCACTCACTCACTCACGCTCACTCACACTCACTCACTCACACTCACTCTCATTCACTCACTCTCATTCACTCACTCACTCACTCACTCGCTCACTCACTCACTCACACTCGCTGACTCACGGCAGCTGTCTAGAGGGACAGGATGTTGTCGCGCGCGCGGCGGGGGGCGTGCGAAATCGTGGCAGGCGCAGCACTTTGGCGATGCCGTTGCGAAATCGTGGCAGGCGCAGCACTTTGGCGATGCCGTTGCCGAAGTCGTGGCAGGCGCAGCATTCTGTGCATCTGGGTGTGTGTTTGTGTGGCAGGGGTCGCATTCGGCAGCTGTCTAGAGGGACAGGATGTTGTCGCGCGCGCGGCGGGGGGCGTGCGAAATCGTGGCAGGCGCAGCACTTTGGCGATGCCGTTGCGAAATTGTGGCAGGCGCAGCACTTTGGCGATGCCGTTGCCGAAGTCGTGGCAGGCGCAGCATTCTGTGCATCTGGGTGTGTGTTTGTGTGGCAGGGGTCGCATTCGGCAGCTGTCTAGAGGGACAGGATGTTGTCGCGCGCGCGGCGGGGGGTGTGCGAAATCGTGGCAGGCGCAGCACTTTGGCGATGCCGTTGCGAAATCGTGGCAGGCGCAGCACTTTGGCGATGCCGTTGCCGAAGTCGTGGCAGGCGCAGCATTCTGTGCATCTGGGTGTGTGTTTGTGTGGCAGGGGTCGCATTCGGCAGCTGTCTAGAGGGACAGGATGTTGGCAGGCGCAGCATTCTGTGCATCTGGGTGTGTGTTTGTGGGGCAGGGGTCGCATTCGGCAGCTGTCTAGAGGGACAGGATGTTGTCGCGCGCGCGGCGGGGGGTGTGCGAAATCGTGGCAGGCGCAGCACTTTGGCGATGCCGTTGCGAAATCGTGGCAGGCGCAGCACTTTGGCGATGCCGTTGCCGAAGTCGTGGCAGGCGCAGCATTCTGTGCATCTGGGTGTGTGTTTGTGTGGCAGGGGTCGCATTCGGCAGCTGTCTAGAGGGACAGGATGTTGTCGCGCGCGCGGCGGGGGGTGTGCGAAATCGTGGCAGGCGCAGCACTTTGGCGATGCCGTTGCGAAATCGTGGCAGGCGCAGCACTTTGGCGATGCCGTTGCCGAAGTCGTGGCAGGCGCAGCATTCTGTGCATCTGGGTGTGTGTTTGTGTGGCAGGGGTCGCATTCGGCAGCTGTCTAGAGGGACAGGATGTTGTCGCGCGCGCGGCGGGGGGCGTGCGAAATCGTGGCAGGCGCAGCACTTTGGCGATGCCGTTGCGAAATCGTGGCAGGCGCAGCACTTTGGCGATGCCGTTGCCGAAGTCGTGGCAGGCGCAGCATTCTGTGCATCTGGGTGTGTGTTTGTGTGGCAGGGGTCGCATTCGGCAGCTGTCTAGAGGGACAGGATGTTGTCGCGCGCGCGGCGGGGGGTGTGCGAAATCGTGGCAGGCGCAGCACTTTGGCGATGCCGTTGCGAAATCGTGGCAGGCGCAGCACTTTGGCGATGCCGTTGCCGAAGTCGTGGCAGGCGCTGCATTCTGTGCATCTGGGTGCTCTGTAATCGCATCCATACAAGGGGCGCACGGTACATGTGTGTGGACATTTGAACTCACATCCTTGGGAAAAACATAGCATGTGGGGTTATCCGGTCCTTTAATTTGTTTGTGTGACTGCTTCGGTGAATGTGGTTATTTCTTTGTGTGTGTGTTTGGTTGTTTGTGTTTGTTGTTTTGTGTGGTTGTGTATGTCTGTACGTCTGTCCGGCTGCACGCATGCATGTTGTACAAGTAATGCAATGCATTGCAGCATAATGTGATCCCTGGGGTTCAAACCACCATTAACATAATGGGGGCTCACACAACCACCATTCTTTACCTCGGGATTGTCATGATCCAAGTTGGGTCAACCTTTCTTTTAATGAGGGTTGAACCCTGGGGTCATGTAACGCAACATAATGTAATGAATGTAATGTGCTTAGTACAAGTATTGCACAGTAATGTGCTGCTATATACTGTACTGTAATGCAATCCCATGTTATGCATGCGTGAATGAATGTATGTATGTGTCCGTGCATGCATGCATGCATGCATGCAAGTTCGCACGTATCTACGTACGTAGGTGCATGTGTATGTGTGTATTTTTGTAGGGTCGAGATTTAATTTGGGATTTTTTTTTGATTTATTTTGGGATTTTTTGTTGTTTTCCGTCCTGGCTACTGAAATGCTGTAATTTACAGCATTTTCTCGCGAAATGTACGTATTTTACGCTAGTCCGTCAACATCATCAGCATCGTTTTCAACATCCCCCGCATGTCCAGCCAACATCCCCAGCATCACCAGCAAATTGGCTTCCCACATCTCATGGTGAAAGTGAGGATTCAAATACGGGCAAACTAATCCCTGTAAAACACCTAAAACGTGGCGGCAGCCCCCCCCATGATGATTGAAAAAGTGACGACGGCAGCCCCCCCCATGATGATTGAAAAAGTCTAAAAAATTGCGGGGGGGTTGGGGGCGGCGGCAGCCCCCCCCATGATGATCGAAAAATTAAGGGCAAAGAATCTAAAAAGGATCGGTCGCATGATGATCGAAAAAGTGATGATTCAATTCGGGGCAAAAAGTCCAACAAATAGCGGGGGGGTTGGGGGGGGGCGGCAGCCCCCCCCATGATGATTGAAGAAGTGATGATTCAAAAAGGGGCAATAAATATTTAAAAAAAAGCAGCCGGGGGTCATCAGTTCCTCTGCGGCAAGGCCTCATGGTACAAGTGAGGATTCAAACACGGGCAAACTAATCCCTGTAAAACACTTAAAACGGGGGGGGGGGCAATTCCCTCCATGATGAATGAAACAAGTGATGTTGGGGGGGCGGCAGCCCCCCCCATGATGATCGAAAAAGTGATGATTCAATCAGGGGCAAAAAGTCTAAAAAATTGCGGGGGATCGAAAAATTAAGGGCAAAGAATCTAAAAAGGAGCGGTCGCATGATGATCGAAAAAAGTGATGATTCAATTAGGGGCAAAAAGTCCAACAAATAGCGGGGGGGTTGGGGGGGGGCAGCCCCCCCCATGATGATTGAAAAAGTGACGACTCAAAAAGGGCCAACAAAATATTTAAAACAAAGCAGCAGGGGGGTCATCAGTTCCTCTGCGGCAAGGCCTCATGGTACAAGTGAGGATTCAAATCACGGGCAAACTAATCCCTGTAAAACGGCAGCCACCCGGCCCCCCTCCATGATGATTGAACAAGTGATGATTCAATTAATTAAAGGCGCGGGGTAGCTGTCGCATGATGATCGAAAAAGTGATGATTCAATTAGGCGTGCATTTTAATCGAAAGGGGGGTGGCGGGGGGCCCAGAGAGGAACTTGCGATGCTGATGATGCAGGAAGCCAAGGCCAAAAACCAACTGGGAAAGCATCAGGATGCGAAAAGCCAAAGCCAGAAAGCCGCCAAAAGCCAAAAAGCCAAAAAGCCAAAAAGCCACCTGCCGCAGCGGAACTGGCAATGCAGAGGATGCGAAAAGAGAGGAAAAGTGAATGCAGATAATGCGAAATGAAAAGCCACAAAAGCCACAAAAACCCACGTAAATGCCACAAAAGCCAAAAAGCCGAAAAGCCACCGACCCTGAAAAACAAAAATAATTCCTAAAAAAAAACGAAAAAAAAATCCTAAAAATTACTTCGCTTCGAGCAATCCCCACCCTCCACACTCACGAGCTTACGACCGTGAACACGGTTGTGTGAATTCAAGGTTGGGGCCTATGACTGCTCAACAAGCTTTGCATTGAGAGCCTTATCCACCTGTCTGTGTGTCAAACTCCACTTGTCTGCGAGCCGATCTCAAGATTTCAAGAATCGGTTCCACTAACAAAAGCCAAGCCCCTTCCAAAAAGAAACCCGACGGGGTGAAACGAAGTTGCTTATTCACAACCCCAAGCAACACAAAAGCATCACCCTTTCCGAGCCTCAGGGTACGCTCAAAACACGAAGGCACCAACATGAAATGTAAACCCCCTTTGTGCGCCGGGCGGGACATTAAGCAAAGCTAGTCTGGGGAGCTGCTCTGGCGGGATACTGGCGGGATCCACTGGCGAATGCTGGCGAGCCGCTCCGGCTCGATACTGGTCGGATACTCGGCAGGATCCACCGGCAAGGGATACTCAGCGGGATGCTCGGCGAGATCCACTGGCGAGCTACTCTGGGATACTCAGCGGGATGCTCGGCGGGATCCACTCCGGGCTGCTCTGGTGGGAGCCACTGTGGCGGGATACTCGGCGAGATCCACTGGCGAGCCACTCTGGCGGGATGGATTCACTGGCGAGCAGCTGTGGCGGGATACTGGGCGGGATCCACTGGCCAGCTGCTCTGGCGAGATACTTGGCGGGATCCACTGGCGAGCAGCTCTGGCGGGATACTCGGCGGGATGCACTGGCGAGCTGCTCTGGCGGGATACTCGGCGGGATCCACTGGCGAGCTGCTCTGGCGGGATACTGGGTGGGGGGGTGGTGTAGAAGCATCGCAAACGCGGATTCCAACATAAAATCTAGCAACCCTTTCCTGCCGGGTGGGGAACAATGGCCCTCCATTTTTGTATGTCTATCTGTCTGTCTGTCTGTCTGTCTGTCTGTCTATCTGTCTGTCTGTCTGTCTGACTGTCTGTATGTCAACATCTACGCATGTACACATGTACTTGTGTACGCATGGTATGTAGCTATGCTATGGTGCGTTGTATTGCGTATGTTGCGTGATATGCAAGTCAGGAAGAGTATGCGTGTTGCATGGGCTGTGTATGGGATGCTTGTTGTGGATGCATATATTGATGCATGCCGGAATGCAACGGTTGAAGCGCGTGCAATCATGTATGTTATGTTATGCATTGTTATGATACGGAGAGTTATGTTCGGTTGCATGCATAACTTAGGAGCGCTTAGTTGGTCCACAAATGTCCACAAACAACACACATTCAAACACCTGCAACTTCTGTCTCACTTGGAAACGTGGTGGGTTGTCTCGTCAATGGGACAACTTCCAAAATGCACCCCGGCCTCCTTGTGAACCCTTCAAACACCCTTCAAACACCCCCCAACTGCATAAGCCATACCGAAAAAGGAGCCACACCCGTGTCACCGGCCCGTCACTTTGGCAAGTCAGCACCGGATCGCCTTCTTGCCAGGAGGTCATAGCCTCTGCTTGCCACTCGGAGCCTGAGGTCCGGGCAGGCACACCGTGGGGCTGAGGATATCCAGGAGATCTGATCAGTCTCGCTGGTTCAGGCACTGCTTCATGAGGTTGTTTGTTCAACTTCAGAATAAACATTAGACACACTTAGACACCCTGGTGGTTCAGACATGTGCTGTTTTCATGCGGATATCTGATCAGTCTCAGAATAAACATTAGACATCCCGGATTCCCGGAGTTGATTTGCAGCGAATTCCATGCGTTCAAGGGAGACTGTTAAGAGGCTGGACCGGGCTTTCCATCGAAGCCACAAGACCGCAAACAACCAATGACCCATGTCCTTTCCTGTTCGAGGCAAGAACATATCGTCCGTGGTTTGTATGTGTTCTTTCGCCAGGTCCCAAGACGAAGCCTAGCTTTTGCCCTGTAGCTGTCCACCATGATCCCTATGTAGCCACTGAAACGATGTGCGCAGTAAGGCACCCAGGTTGGAATGTTCGGCAGAAAATCAGACCCCCGGGGCCCGAGGCGCAAGCCTCAAAAGATAAACCACAACACATGGCTGTGGGTCAAGAATAGGGTAACCCCAAAATGGCTTGCCCTGGTAAATGGAAGCAAGGACTAAAACCTGCGGTCCATATCCACATACCCACACCCACATTAATCACTTAAAGGCCAAGCTTCTTCGCAGCCCCAACCTTCAAAGCTTGCGGGGCTCAATCCTGCAGTTGGATCACTCCAAAAACCCTTCATTCATCCAGTTCCTGTATTGAGACCTCGCCAAAAAAAAACCATCGCGTTAAATCGAGCCATGCACAACAAGGGGGAGCTACATGCCCGTGTGTCAGAAGAAACAACCATCTGATGAGACCCTTACTCCACGCCTGCCGACAACATGTCTGACGGAAACGAGACAAACAACAAGAAGAGCACGTGGTCATGCTGTCTCACAACTCACCAGGCGCGGTGAAAGGCAGTATAGGAACAATATCATACTTGGAGGTTCAGAAAAAGGAACCAACTTAAAACCCACTTAAAACTCGTTTGGTGGAGACTGGAGCACCGACCGTCAGGATGACTCTTGAAACGAGAGACACCCTCCCCGAGAAAATCTGGAAGCCGGGTGGCCAACGGGTCTGTAGAATTTAACCTGCCAGACCTGGTCGTAGCACCTGACGAGTACGCAGGTGTTGGGTCACGTTGGATCACTGGACTTTGGGATTCTCAGACTTCACAAAACCCTGTAAGGGACCTTCTCACGTGTGAGCTAGTTTGCACCCAGAGCTCGCTACATATATATATATATACATGCATTAGACCGTAACCTCACCCACTAACTGTGGATGGATAAGCGATCAACCGTTACCAAAATGGCCTTCCAAATTGTGGTGACTGTTAGTGTTTGGGGGCAGGGTCCAATCAAAATATATATATATATATATATATACATACATATATATATATATATACATATATTTATATATGTATTGATTTACTTATATGTATGATACATAATTTGTGAGGGGTGGAGTAATGCTTCTGCTTGATCCCGGTTCCATCAGCTACTTGAGCCGACACACGAAGATGGTACCTTAGATTGGTTCAGACTACTTGATGCTGTTTGCATGCCATATTACATTGGTTGCCTCGCTTCTGCCCATCACTACAACGTGCAACTCAACGATATTCTACTGGCCAAAGCGTGTTTCGGGCCTAGTTCACAAGAAGTGAACAACAAGTACCGCCATCTCAACTTGGATAAATTACGGTACAGTCAGAAAATGAGGTGATCCTAATGGACATGGGAAAATTCGGCATCCGCCTGTCCGCTCCTCGCCCTGCAGAACTTGCAGGCGCCGCATGAGGTGGTTGAGACCCTTCCCCAATCCATGTCCCGGGTTCGAACGGGCCAAGCCGTCGTTTTCGTATTTTCACAGCTATCGTATGGAACAAATCCTTTTGGCTTCCCGAACCAAAGGGACGCAAGGCTGGTTGTTCAAACAACTTCCCCAACGCTGGCTCTAGACAACACCCACATTTAGGGGGGTTCTCGATCTAATGTTCCCCTAAGTTGGTTGCTTCCTTCGGGTTCTCCACCCAAAGCCGGTCCATTTGGAGAAGGACTCGCTCAACTGAGGTGCCTGTCATCTTTGTCGATGCAGGCGGGTTCCGAGAAGGACTCGATATCGCAGTCATCGGGCCACTTCCTGAACTGAGACGCGGGGGCGACCAAACAGTAGCATGGCAAAAGGGAGCGTTTTTGAGTTGGCATCTCCTTCTGCTTATTAAGGGGTCTCAGCCCAAATAAGGTTTGAGGGTGGCTTGGGGGAGCTCTGCAGTCAGGTTCGAAGGTTCCGAGAATTGCGGGATGTTTGGTGCAGGCCAGGTGTAAGGTTAAAGGCAGGTTCCGGAAGTTTTGGGGTGGTGCCGGCCAGGTGTAAGGATCAAGGCAGGTTCCGGAGGTTGCGGGGTGCCAGGTGTAAGGTTCAAGTAAGGTTCCGGAGGTTCGGGTGGTCTGGTGACGGCCAGCTGTAAGGTTCAAGGAAGGTTCCGGAGGTTCCGTGTGGTCCGGTGCAGGCCAGGTGTAAGGTTCAAGGAAGGTTCAGGCCAGGTGTAAGGTTCAAGGAAGGTGGTCTGGTGCAGGTGTAAGGTTCAAGGCAGGTTCTGCTGGTGTTCAAGGAAGGTTCGGGAGGTGCAGGCAGGTGTAAGAATCAAGGAAGGTACCAGGAGGTTCAGTGGCCTAATGTAGGGTAGGTGTAAGGTTGGGGTGGTCTGGTAAGGTTGAGGTTTTGGGGCGGTCAGGTTCAAGGAAGGTTCCGGAAGTTCCGGGTGGTCTGGTGCAGGCCAGGTGTCAGGTTCAAGGCAGGTTCCAGAGGTTGCGGGTGGTGCAGGCCGAGTGTAAGGTTCAAGGAAGGTTCTGGAGGTTCCGGGTGGTCTGGTGCAGGCCAGGTGTGGTCTGGCGCAGGCCAGGTGTGAGGTTCAAGGAAGGTTCCGGAGGTTCCGGGGTGGTGACGGCTAGGTGTAAGGTTCAAGTAAGGTTCTGGAGGTTCGGGTGGTCTGGTGACGGCCAGCTGCAAGGTTCAAGGCAGGTTCCGGAGGTTCCGTGTGGTCCGGTGCAGGCCAGGTGTAAGGTTCAAAGGAGGTTGCGGAGGTTCTGGGGTGGTCTGGTGACGGCCAGGTGTGAGGTTCAAGGAAGGTTCCGGAGGTTTCGGGGTGGTCTGGTGCAGGCCAGGTGTAAGGCGGGGTGGTCTGGCGCAGGCCAGGTGTGAGGTTCAAGCAAGGTTCCGGAGGCTCCGGGGTGGTCTGGTGCAGGCCAGGTGTCGTTCCACCACGGTTTTAACGAGGGTTCCACGAGGGTTCCACGAGTTTCTGCGAGGGCTGCGTGCGAGCACGCGTGCTGTTGGGGATATCACCTGAGCTTATTTTTCAGGTTTGCAGCCCTAAAGCAATCGACACCTTTTGCACGTGATGGGCTCCCTGGGCTAGGTCCTCCAGTAGAGAGGTTAGAATAAGTTGGTACCCACTTTTTTCTGGACGTCCCTCCCAACCAAAAAAGGGTAAAAGGGCACCTAGCTGGGGACCTAGGTTGGTACCTTCTTCGGGTTGGTTTTACATGGGAAATCAACGGGAAACCCAGGATTTGTGTGGCCCCCCCAAGTTTGACACATACCCATGTACAGCTGAAGGCTCCAAACCATATTACTCCCCAATCGGTACACAGAAGCTATATCCTCGAAAAGGGGCCGGGAGGCCATCCAAACTTGGGCACAGCCATGATGCACATTCAGAGTGCATGACTCGGTCAGGCATAAGTTCAAACTGCTAGCCTACTGCAAATTAGGAATCTCCTTTTGGATGAAGGGAACACCGCAAGCAAAAACCACACATCTTGGGGGGGTCCCTCTAGTTTGGAACGACCTGCCCAGTTGCCCAGGAAGGAAAAGAATTGGAATCCAAAATCCAATTCTGGTGGGAGAACCCACCAAACAAAAGGACTAGGGAAGAGGAACAAGGACAAGGAAAGGAATGTACCCAGTCCCCCATATCATGGCGTTTTGGTGCTACATGCTGATCTGCAGGAGTTTAGAGGAAGCACACCACTACAACTCTCCCCAGCTCTGCATTACTTGTGAGCTGCTTCTTAAGATGTCACTCCACTTGAACAACATATTCATTAATGGCCATCTCCCTTAGGTCAACATGAAAGCTCCCAGGACGCCGTGTGAAGAAGTATTCGTCTGGCAGCGTCACTTTGGGATGGCCCCTAGTCACCCCAACTGAGGTGTTTTGGGATTCTCCAAAGTTCAAGAACGCAGCAACGACAATTACACATCCACAGCCCCAAAGGGCAGCACTTCGCTAACATGTCCGAGTTGGTCTCTGACCCTCTGCGAACAGACCTTTGGTGAGGGAAACTATGCTCCAAAAATGACTAACAGGCTCAAGGTCAAACCACAAGAGCAAACAACCAGAGAATTCTTGAAACACGCACATGGCAATGCCCACTCTTGCACAAGATAGCTTCCTGTGAGACAATCCCTGGATGCAGTCCCGGCTGCTTGAAGTCCTTGTAATGCGGCACCTTCAGCGCCTGCTGCAAGCTTTCAGTTGCCAGACCCAAGATGCATAGATTGTAACCTGGAGCTCTTGAGGGAGTAATTACCCTGGGTAAGTGGCAATCTGACTGGCAACTCAGTCTCAAAATAGATCCTCAACAAACCGAGCAGAACCGAGCACTGCCGAGCGCCCGGGAACCGAGGCCCAAGCCCGAGGAGTTGCCATGGGGTTTGCTTCTCCGAGGTGAGTTCTCTCATGGTTTCTATATGCACACTGTAGCATTCATGCGCTACCAAACCGCTCGCCTGAATGATATGTCCGGAATGGTCAATCCCGAAATGGCCTCACATGCCCATCCCAGTTGCAAGGCAACCTCGCAGTTCACCGGAGGCGAGCTCAAAAGAGCCCAGCTGCATCTCTTCAAGATCATTAGTACAGTGGATGCGACTGCGTTTTTTGGCAAATAACAACCATGTGCA